CAGCTGGACGAGCTCCGGCCCGGGTGCGGTCCGTATGGAACAGCTGGACGAGCTCCGGCCCGGGTGCGGTCCGTATGGAACAGCTGGACGAGCTCTGGCCCAGATGCGATCCGTATGGAACAGCTGGACGAGCTCTGGCCCAGATGCGATCCGTATGGAACAGCTGGCCCTCCGAAGGTGCTGACCTACGGCTGTGTCTTACCACTTGTCCAGCCGCGGGGTTGTAGAACCTCTCCAACAGCTGCACTGACGTGCTTTTCCCACAGCCGCTGCCGCCCACCAGCGCCAGCGTCTGCCCCTTGGCCACCTTCACGCTGAGCCCCTGCAGAACCTGCACGCCCTGCCTGGTGGGATAGGCAAAGTGCACACTACTGAACTCAACGTTGCCTTCGAAAGAACTCTGGAACACAAGAAATTGGCATGTTAGTGCATTATTGCTCTGTCCTCTCATCAAGCACTGGAACGTGTCTTAACAATAGGTAGGTTTTACAGTTTGTAATGTGTTTAAACCAGGGGTTCTGACAACCAGTGGCACAGAAGCTTGTCACTTTAATACTGTATTAGGTTTTCATTTTGACATCAAGCATTGTTAATCTGTAATGCAAAGTTTTACATCATATACTGCTTTATTCTGTTTCTATAAGTATTTCCACTACTGCATATACTGTGTAGATATACTGTATATGCCTTCTCCAGATTTCTTTGAATGTTTCCCACAGTCTTTGTGTACTTCTGGTGTTAACTGCACATTTGCTCCTTTTCCTGAGCTACTTACTGGTTTTTCCCCTCCTTCGTTGTAGATATCGATGTCTGGTTTTCTCTCAAGCAGCTGAGTTATTCTTTGGGCAGAGGCTTTTGCTTTGGCGAAGTCTGGGGCAAACGAAGAGGACTGTCCGATACTCATCGCAGCGAACACTATCACAGAGAACACCCTGGCAAAGCAACGTCACATCGTGAGCAGGGGAGGGCAGAGAGTGAGCCGCGATAATATTTATCCATTAATTTGGGTTTTAGCTCAAAGATGCCTGCAAAAATATTTTCCACACTGTGAATGGAGCTCTCCTTCTCCTATCACTTCGACATACTAAGTGCCGTAGGTGATCCTGGATCCATGAGGGGTTTTCGAGGGGCGGCTATGTTTTCAAGAGTGATGATCTGATAAAAGGGATATTGCAGATCTTGAAAACCTCAGATTGTAACATGGCTCTGAGTAAACATACTGCCATTTCATGATGTTTTTACTGAACTTCTACTAACCACATTGCAAGAAACGTTGTGATGAATTCCTTTTTTAGATGTATACAACTATTTCGACAGAAATAGATTCCAAAGAGTACTTTCATCAAATATGGTACTTACAAGAACACGTTTTCAAACTCTGTATAACAGTGCGCAATAAGCCAAGACCCAAAACGAAAAATTGAAGCATTGACGAAGTAAGGCACTGCCTGACCGAGGGCGTAGGTCAGGCCGTAGATGGGCGCTTTGCACAGAGCTGCCCTGGAGAACAGAAACAGAATTCAGTTTGAAAGGTTAAATAAGGTTCTTACTTTGCATTTTGAATATTCATTTTATACATTGCAGCCTGAGAGGTTTACCAGTTGTAAGGAATTATTCACTGTGTAAATGTAGGGTAGTTATTCAGTGGGTCAAAAGTAAAGAAGATATTTCACTTGTTTTCATAGTAAGAGGAAAGCAACACAAAATGCCCTCTTCTTCAGAGTGGTTGCCTGAAAGTTTGACTCCAGTGTAATAATAAAGGCTCCTTCAGAATTTGAGAAGCTCGTATGTTGTATTATAATTATTATTACAAAACTCTTGTCCCAGGACATCTACACAATAGCAAGTCCCTACCTGTATGGTGGTTGTAAACTCTCTTGAAACCTTTTAAAGAAAACGTCTTCTCTTGTTAAAGCTGCAACTGTTCTGATGTTTTCTACTGTTTCCGTGGATATCTACAAAAGAATAAATGTAAAACTTGCTGCTGAGCACGAATAGATTTATTTCTTGCTATTATCATGAAGACAGCAATACAAAAGAGCAACGGATACAACAAATATGGAATCTGTATTGACTGACGTGCATGTTTTTTTGTTCTCCGTGATTCCTATTTTCACATCTCCACACTGTGCAATAGAATGAAAAGCAAAATATAGCAACCTGTAAAATGCTTCCCTATTTTGACAAGAAACGTGTACAGTTGCATGTTTTTTTTTGTGAAGAGATAATATTTGATTCCAAGATTACCTTTGTCTTAATGACACTCAAAATGGCCATATTTCATTTCTAACAATGACACAGCGAATATAAACAGATAGTGTACTTAAATACTTTGGCATTAACTTGGCTTGCTGAAGAAATAGCAGGGGTGGCTGAAGATCAGCACCGTCACAAACCACACAAAGGATTGCTAAAACAAAAACACAATAACCTGATAAACTGAGCGAGAAGCACGTAGGATACAGACTTGAATTTGTTTGATCGAGAAGATTTGGATATGCGGCGCTTCAGAGGTGCACTGAAGGGGAATGACGGAATTGAGAAGCACGTGTGATGCAGCTGATGGAGCAGAAAGTCAGCAAACAGGTGGCGGCACTAACTGTGGCTAGCTGGAGATTGCATCTCTGTATGAGCAGTGAAAGATGCTTCGGAGTAGCCTTACACAGAAATAGGAAGAGGGTTACCACTAGCTTAAATTTGCTAGTGGATGAGGATTCCAAGTTGAACTCCCCAAAGAAGAAATATCAGCTGTGTTTGATGATGGAACCTTTGGGAGGGGGAAGCGTTGAGGGCTGACGTTCCACCAGTTGGACGCCAACTTGGTGGGGGGGGGTCAGGGAGTGGGCCAAGGAGGAGGCCCTGACCCAATGCAGACTGACACAGTGCACTTGAACTCTCTGGAAGGAATGAGCATGAGCAACAAGGGGTGGCTCCAGCGGGGACAGGGAAAAGAAGGATTGGGAAAAGGGGGAGAGATGAGAAAATCAATATGGGCTGGGACCATACGCTTGTTGGCTTGGACACTCTGCCAGGAGAAGAGGAAGGGAAAAAGGGAGATGAAGCCTCTGTGATTGTTTGGAGTCCTAAGGAGGGTTGGTAACATCAGGAAAACTGAAAGAAAAGCGTGACAGTTTGTAGAGCAGAGCCACTTGTTTTGTGTGGAGAGTTTGAGAGAATGTAACTTCCGTCCTAGCCTGTAGGAGACAAACATGACAAAGATAAGATCTTGGTAATGCAAGTGTGAAACATGTTTGTCTTTGATGAAACCGCATGTCAAGTGCAAGATAAGATGGGTGTAAAGTTGTGCGCAATCAGGGATTATTTATATGTAGCGGAGTAGAAGTGCAACATAAGAATTTAACATCCTCCCAAATGTCTGTTAATGACCAGTAAGCATTCTTCATATAAAACACCCAGTATAATTTCTGAAACTGCTTTTTTATAAAGGTATTCTGTTTTGTCAGACAGCAGTCTTTTGTGATGTGGAAAACCATGTAAATTGTACAGATCTGAATCGTAGTACCTTTCCAGATAATTCCAAAGATTTCTGATCTTTGGAGGCATGTCCTGCTGTTGACTTCATTTGAATGATATTTGCTCCGACCAGAAATGGAACACAAGCCAGGATTAGCAGAGTCAACTGCCAGCTGAAAACAAAAGCAACTATTATGGCAATTGTCAGGCTGCACAGCAATCTTGTAACCAAGCCAAGTCGTGCTCCAGCAGCCTATAACAAAGACAAAAAGCAACATGTTAATACAATTATCTGATTTTAACAAATGCAAAAACATCCATTAAATACCAACAAAATTAAATTTACAGGTGATGGTAATGAAATGACTGGTGTTCTTAATTCCAGGATGTGTGAAAAACATCCTGTTCAACTATAGCATTCATATCATTTAGTTTTATGAACTTTAACATTCCCAGCTGTATTCAGTTTTGTTTCCCTGCTCCTGGAATCAAGGGAAAGTCATAAATCTGATTAAACTCTAAATAGATATAGTGCCTTCTGTGAGTGGCATTAAAGGTGTGGAACTGCAAGACCCCATAGTCACTGGTTTGAGTCTGGATCACAATTGTCCAAGTGCAGCTGATGTAGAACTGTGATTAGCCAGCCTAGGCTCTCTTGGCTTTCTGGTAAAAGAGTGACTCCTGTGATTTGACAGGTTCTTGTGGTGACATCATTGAGAGAGACCCCACTCCTCCAATCCATGCTAACTCTCCTGTCAGGCACTGTGGAGCTTTGCAAAAGGACAAATAGCTTTGTGACCAGCAAGTCTGCATTGCTAGTTCTCTCTTGACAGAATTAGGACTCATAAAGCAATTGTGGATATATAACAAAACATAATCATAATCACCAATCACATTTTTAAAAGTACAACTGATTAGATGAAAAATATGCATCAGAATAAAACATTTACCCCTTTTACAAGTGATGCATCAGTTGCAAGTTTGGTAGTTAAAATGCCCACAGCATTCTTGTTGTCATCAAACCATGCAATGTCCTGTTGAACAAAAAAAGTGTTTGACATTCTGACCATTCAAACAGTACAATCAATGCTGCCTTAAAACAAAAACAAACAAAAATGCAACAGACAGAAAAAAGAGGTAAAAGATGAAACAAGAAGTTAAATATTGCTGCTGGTCCTTGCAATCCTGTTGGCACTGAAGAGATAAGGGTCGTTTTCTTTTACACGTGTGACATTTGTGGGGGCTGCAAAGCTTCTGCGGGAAATGAAAAGTAACAATTTAACCCTCTCTACATGTCAACGAATAAAACAGCAGCTGCTTATCTGAGCTCCTACATACCTATTACTAGCCCTCGCTCAAACCATGACTCTGTGAGCCTAATTCTCCGTCAAGCAGCCACTAAGACAGCCGTTCATTTCCACCAAGAAACTGCGGTGGTGAAGTCTGTAGGGTGCTAATGCTTTCATTGCTGGCAGACATGGTCCTTTGAAATGACCATTACTCTAATGTGTCAAAGCACATATTGTTGTGTAGAGCTGGTAAATCATATCTTTTTTTCTTTCATCTATATGCTTTCCACGTCACTGTGTTTTGAATGGCAGATGCAAGCCTGGCCGCCTTACCTGTCTTATCATGGCTTTGAAGGACTGAGATCGCAGCCTCATCGTGAGGATCTCTCCCGATTTCCCAAACATGAAACCCTGCAGGAGAATGAAAAACAAGTCCTGTCAATGAAACAGACTCCTCGTACACCATCACTTTCTTTTCCCCAAGAGCTTTGCTCTGCGCTGTTTCTTTGTTTCGGCTCAGAACGGGGTCTGTACTTGGACTGGCCTGAATGTGGCATGAGAGTTTGACTGCTCCAGCGAGGTGGAGGCAAAAGAGAGGCAGGCAGGAGAAAAGAGAGCTCAGTTGCACCAGGGCAGATTTACAGTATCAAATTTTCAATGGCTCTATGACATGCTGAGTACACTAAGGCCTAGTTGTGAAATCTTCACTATAATAACACTACTGCAGTTCTCATAATGACCATTCAACGATTCATGCATTTAACGATAACACTCTCAGTCTTTCATTCGAAAAAGAAGACTGATTTTCAAAAACAAAAAAAAGACACCTGAAATGATTATTTTGCAGATCTCATAGAGGCATATTGTATTATTATAAATGAGCCAAATAAATATTAATTGGATAAAAGTTAGTTTCAGTTTAAGGGAGAATTTAAAAACCCAGCTGGCAGAATTAATTTTAGCTTGTGTGATGCTGCATTATCTCCTGTCCTTCCAGAACATACATGTCTTCTATTTTCTGTATGTCCTTTGTTTTACCCTATACATACCTCTAAAAAGTAAGTGACAAAAGCAACTGCTCCAATGAGAAGAAACATCAGTGACAATAAGGTTGTTTTTCCTCTTCTGACGTCAGGATCCAATTCGCCAAAAACCTATGAAAAGGGAACAAAATATACTGCTGATTTAGAAAGTCTATGTACAATACTTTTAAAATCATTTTATTTACCTATTTAAGAACCATTTCAATGATTAAAATATATTTATTCGCAGATAGAAATAACGATACTCTTCACCCATGCTGAAATGAAAGTTACTCGTTAAAGGTTACTAGTTTTATGAATATTATGATTGTGTTTCATATCTAATTTGGTTACAATTATGTTTTAGATCCTCCCAAATTTGCATTAACTCTGTTCTTAGTTGCCTCATTTTTGCCTTTTCATTTTACAGATGTAAATAAGCAAGCCTGTAAGACTGTAAAACGTGGCCTTAACTGATATAATTAAGGAGCACTAGAGTGAAATCCGGAAAAGACAGACTCCTTCAGGCCTTGGTGTAAAGGTGGGACAGCATGCCTCACTTACCCCGATGATCTTGGAGAAGACAATGGCCACGCAGGGGTAAACCGCTCCTCCAATCAAACTCGCGACACACCCTATCACCAGGAAGGGCCACTCCGGCTTGTTCATTTCCAGGATTTTACCAAATGGGATATCTGGGAGACTTTCCTCTTCCTGGAAGCAGAATAATGTTTTAACTGGAAATACCATTCCTTCGAGTAGCATTAAACAGAAAGTCTCAGTGCGTCTCGTTCACCTCCAATCGCCGTCCCAGAACATAAGAGAACAATTCAGGTTTTGGAAAATGTGTCTTTTGTAGCACTGTGCACATGTAGCTTTACCTCCTTTTTCTTTTTCCCTCTTTTCCTCCTTCTCAGTTTGGTTTTGGCTGATCTCCTCACGCTTTGTCTGCTGCGTCTTATGCTGCTTCTCTGGAAGATGCTGGCCTGGGACGCTCCATTATTCACCAGCTCTGGCTCATCTTCAGATGCTTCATCGTCAAACGAGAACGTGCTTCCCTCACTGTCTTCCTCAATGTGACCTGAACTCTTAAGCAGTCAACAAGGGAGGAAAGCATTTAATGCTGGGGGCAGAAATAAGGCTGTATTTTATTTTCCTTTGTGTCTAAAAACCTCCCACCTGCTGTGCTCACTTTGTTTGAATTTTAGATTTAGATCTAGATTTAGATTTAGATTAATTTTAGATATTGTTGTTAGCGGCTGCACGACTTCTGTTTTATTTGCATCATCATACAATTAAAAAAATTAAAACACATCAAATTTAAGCTTCTATGCAAAAATACTTGAGTTTGGATTTTATTTAGACTCTTTTGTTACATTAGAAAACCTCCAAAAAATGTCAAAACATTTCTCCAAAAACCATGACAAGAACATAAAGTTACAAGATCAATGCATTGCGACCAGCTCAGCAATCCAAGGATCTCGTCCAAGCCCTCCCTGAAAGAAGCCAGGGAGTCTGTTTCAGCAGCATGGCGGGGTAGGTTGTCTCACACCCCCACAACTCTTTGTGTAAACAGAAACAGGGCCTCTTGCTTTCAGCTGCGAATGCACTTTCCTGTAGTTTCCTGTGTACAAGCCACTCCGCTGAATAGGTTAAAATCATTACCTGCTGCATAACAAGGGAGTAGTAGACCCCCTTCTTGGCCATCATCTCTCTGTGGGTTCCCTGTTCAACCACCACGCCGCTGGAGAACCCAGCTATGACATCTGCCGTCCTGATAGTGGACAGGCGGTGAGCAATCATGATGGTGGTGCGACCGGCTCTTGCCTAGGTTCGAGAAAGAGACAGCTCCTTTTCTCTGCAACGTGTGGACTTTCACTGTCCACTTTGAGCTTCTGTTTACCGAGCTTAAAACGCTGTTTTGGCATGCTTTGGAAAAGTGCAAAACATTTCAGTAATTTTTAAAATGGAATGCAGGCTATAGCACATTTAACCACATAATGATTCAAAGTCTCCGTGTGTTAAAAAAAACAACTGACTTTAGTTACAACTCTTACTCAAGATAAAAAGGGGAACAAACGGAATGGTGGCTTAACAATTCACTTAGAAAAGTGCGATCATTGATAGTCCTTTTTATTAAATTTTGGCATAATGATCATTTTTGGCATTGGATGCATGGTCACCAGATCCACCATTTGCTCTGTACTGTATTCAACTGAATTGACTTAATTAAGTCCTGCAAAAATGTAATAAACAGTTGTTGTATGTTCCCCTTAAATCACAGATGTTTTGATTATACTTTTCACAGCCCCAGTATTTTTTTAGGACTAAGGCAATTCCTTTGGGTGCACTTTTGTTCAGATATTTGCCGTTTATAAAAGACAGCACAAAGCCTGCATCATGTGACGTTCACTGTAATGTACAAAACACAGACTCAATAAAGAAAAAGTCGACGCGCGGGTGAGGTCAGCCCGACCTTGTCCAGCGCTGTCTGCACAACGCTTTCGCTCTGCGTGTCGAGAGCGGACGTGGCCTCGTCCAGGAGCAGGATTTTGGGGTTCTTGACAAGAGCGCGGGCGATGGCGATCCTCTGCTTCTGGCCCCCGCTCAGCTGAGCTCCCCTTTCGCCAACCATCGTATTGAGCTTCTGTCGGTGTTCACGTTGTAAAAGGGGGAGGAGAAAGAGGGCGGAAAAAACCGTCAGCAAAGCAGGGCCAGGGCGGCGGGCGCGGTGCCTCCGCAGCCGGACCGGCGAGGACGCACACTCACGTCGGGGAGCTTCGAGATGAAGTCATACGCGTTGGCCTCCCTCACAGCCCGCTCGATGTCCTCGTCCGTCGCGTCCTCCCTGCCGTAGCGGATGTTTTCCGCGATGGTGGTGGCGAACAGCACGGGCTCCTGGCTCACGATGCCCATGTTCTCCCGCAGCCACTTCACGTTGAGCGAGCGGATGTCGCGCCCGTCCAGGGTGACCTGGGGGTTTCGGGGGGTTGTTGGTTAACCCTGCTCACACCCCCCACGCCACGCGTGAACGTGGATCGGGTTGTAAGACGAGCGGCAGTGGCAAGGCTGTTACCTCTCCCGCGTCAGGGTCGTAAAACCTCTGCAGGAGCTGAATGGTTGTGCTTTTCCCACAGCCACTAGCCCCGACCAGGGCTATCGTCTTCCCTCGCTCAATTTTCAGGTCCAGTCCTTGAAGAATCTAGGAGGAGATGAAGCGGCTGACAGCACAGTACTCTCACCTCACCGGGTTCCTTGTAATGGAGTATTGTAAATATGCACAGTGAAAACTGCCAGTATGAACACTGTGCAAAGGAAATGGACTGCTTTTCTTTAAAAAAAAATATATTTTTCAGATTTATACAGCAGTCGCATGTTAACAGATCCTTCAGCTAAGATCATTGTAAATTCTAAAACGTACAGAATGGGATAACTCTGGAGAAGGTGAAACACAAAATGAATGTGTCTGTACTGTACCTTCGTGTAGACTCTATTTCTCTCCTGTGTGTCCTCTCTCACCTGGTAGGGTCTTTCTTTCTCCCTGTTTTACATTTCCTCAACATTACCCTCTCACCCGAAGAAGGCTCAGCACCCAAATGTTTTTTCTCATTTTTACTTCTCAGCAAAAGTTCAATTTTAACTTGTTTTTTTGCTGCCAACGCATGCTGACGCTCAAACCTCACAAATAAACATGAGAGGGACGATGTGCATCTTCCAGGATTCTTTGTGTGGATAATTGTGATGCTGTTAACGAAAGGGATGGAGTCTAACCTGGGATGTCTAGCAGGTTCTGTCAGAGATTCACAACTTACTTTTACATCCTTCCTGGAGGGGTAGGAGAAGTGGATGTTCTTGAACTCGATGTCGCCTTGTACGCTGCCGGGTTTGTAGCCTTCCTTTGAGCTGCTGTCGATTGGATGTGGCTGCAAGACAGCAGTGGTATTAAAGCATCAGTGGTAACTGAGGCCGAACACAAAAAATCTTGTTCCTCGCCAGTAGAATGTATCACATGCATACCGAATCAATCGTGCTGTAGATTTCATAGGCAGCTCCTCGGGCATTAGCGATGCTTTCCAAGTTTGGCGCTGCTTGGCCCAGCGAGAAGGCGCCGATCATCACAGAGAAGAAGACCTGAAAGAAGCCGACACTGTCTGTCTGTGCACAAGTGAATACCACTGGCAGGGAGGCCCACACCAGTGTGTTCAGCACTCAAAGACTAAGGGAACATGTAGGAGAGCCCTGCAGGAACAATACCTTGAGGAAAAGCAAAGTAATAATCTTAGGAGCCAATGGGAGATACAACTAAGTGCAGACAACAATTTATTTAAACTGATTGCACAAGAAACTGAATTCACATTTTAGATGTTTCGCTTCAGATGTGGAAGATCAGTGAATTTTGAAAATACACACGGCAGGCGGCCATTCAGCCCAGGTAGTTTCTAGTGGCAAACTGAACAAAGGCCCCGTCCAGCCTTGTGTGTAAGAAAGCGTCTCCAGTTCTCAGTTTTCAACATGCTTCCCTGTAGTTTACACGGGCCGCCTAGCTCGAGTTTCAGTCTGCGTACTATTCCCCTCTGTGCAGGATATTCTCTTTCCTCTGCTGAGCAGTCACACTTCCGAAACAACAGCCCTTAAAATCATAACTCTTCCCATAAGGCTTTGCAACAGGTCAGAAGAGTGTCAAAACACACCTGGGAGACTCAAGGCTATGCCAGCACAACTGATACTCTTTCTTCTCACAACTTACCGTTAAGACTTTCCCGATGGAGTAGTTTTCAGGCTCATCTACAGACAGTTTTGTTCCATACCAGAAGGCCAGAGCGTAGGATCCGAATATGATAAACTGAGTGAGCCCCATGGAGGCATTGGTTGTAATTGCCTTCTTGACTCCTAAATCCTTGGCTTTCTGTAAATTTCTTTCATACCTGAAATAAAACCCGATTTTTCTAAATCATCTTCGGTTTTCTAAAGCACCATTACGTCACACTGATATTCCGCTGAGTTCCAGCGGTAAATTACTGGGTTTTCTTTTCCTAAAAAATCAGTGATTCATTTGCAACAAATATTTCCTTGAAATATTTGCTTGGATTTTTACCTAGATACCGCCTAGGTTATTAATAATTCTCTTAATTAATTATCAATAATCCGATTTATTGCATTTTCATGGAAAAATAAAGCCGAACTTTACACAGATAATAATTAAAATACTGATGTGTAAAAAAGTGTCAGCAAATCTGATCACGTTGACATTTGTTTTAAGGAAAAGAATACTTTGACTTCTCAAGTATCAGTGTAGTATGTACAGATATGACCATCTGTCTTTCACCCGATAGCACCTTAATCCTGGCAATTGTTACAACACCCCAGAGCCGATCCAGAAACCACAGGGTAGTGTCCATCACGGGGTGCGCACACTTAAGAACAATACAGAGACCCCAGGTCACCTGGCCAGCATCACTATCACATGCAAACGCAAAGAGAACAGGCAAACTCCAGACAGAAAATGCTCCACTGCAGGATTGAGCCCTGTAGCTAAAATGCAGCAGCACTAACCTTCTTGCTACTGTCCTACACCAGCTCTGACTGTCAACTATAACTTTGCACTTCACAAAACAATAATTATCCGTCTTATTAAGAGCCTGAGATGTGAACAGTTCACACAGCTAATACAGGAACGTAAGAAGGTTTACAAATTAAAGGACGTCCTTTGTCCTACAAGTTTGAATCTTATTTAAAATCCCCTGTATTATTCAGTGCTGTGGAGAACGGATCAAACTTACTTTTCTACAGCTTTCTTCTGTCCATTAAAGGCAACGACAGTCCTAATCGACACCAGGATCTCTTCAGCCACTGCCCCAGCACTTGCATAAGCTGTTAGCTCTTTGCTTGTCAATGTTCCCAAAATCTGCAATATTTATTAAGCAAGATTTATGAGGTTTGTGAGGTCCATGTATTTCTGGGTCAATAACTTCAGGCAAGCATCAGTAAATGTCAGCTACTTGTGCTTCTGCGTATAAAATCACAAAAAGCTGGACATTAATGGTTGAAAGGTTTATAGAAAGTGATGCTTTCCTTTGCGGTAATTAAGTGTTACTGACATGTTGATCATAAAACGAGAGAGGTGTCATGCACTACAAATTGCCTGTGTATTCGGTTCCTTTGTTGTAAGGCACTGAATTGTGAATTTAGAAGTAAAGGATTCAGATCTTGTCCTCTAGTTGAGATGAATAGGAAAGTTTCTTACTTTAGATAAAGCAGCTGCAGATCCTGCCAAAAGTGGACTGACTGCTAGGATGACCAAAGTCAGCTTCCATCCATACACAAACCCAATGATAATGCCTGTTATAAATGTGCAGAACATTTGCAAAAATATAGAGATTTTGTCTCCAAGGCCATCATTGATTGTGTTGATATCACTAGGAGACACAAAAGGGTACAAACATAATACTTTAGTTAGGTACAGTACGACCAGTTTGCTGGAATACTATACATCAACATCACGTGCTCCCAAATATATACAGACCCTCTACTGTCCCAACTTACACTGCATGCAAACCATGTGGACTTCTGGTGAGGTCCCCTAAAGACAACATGTGCTTAAAGTGAGAGTGGATGTTCCTCCAATCAGCATTTCAGTCTTTTTTTGTGAATTAATTACATTAATAAGCATAGACAATTTCCCCTTAAATCATATCATAATACCTGCAAAAACTGCCACATTCTTTTTAGATATCAGGAAGTGAACTCACCTACATATAACGATCCTCACCTACTGTGTACTGAGACTTTGGTACACCATTGGATTATTATATTCAATAGCATTCTTATAGTACTTCACTGCAGTCCTTGGTTCCTTACCCACTGTATATGTCGTGTGCCTGCCTTAATGCTTTGTTTTTTGTGTCATTGTGCGCTGAATGTTTTTGTATATTTTTTATGTTATTTCTGGATAAGCATGTTTGCTAAACAAATAAATAAAAATAATAATTATGGTCTGGATTTCTCATACTATTTTCATACCATAAAGATTTGTACTATGAACCTTTATTTGGACCTTATATTTAGATTTTGTTCTTGTGGAGTTAAAAAGAGCATACGTTCTTTGGAATTTAGTATAATAATAAAGCATATATCTATGCTCCATTTCTAGAACAATTGTCCAAAAGGTTTGGAACAAACTGTAGCTTAAGTCCTATTTCTTTTACAGGCAAAAATTTAGAAATGGGAGAGATAAATTTGAAGTAAGCTTAGAAAATAATGACTTCTTAAGAGACAGTCAAGTTTAGCTAATTTGCGGGAATTCTTTGAACCAGCACCTGAACAGTGTACAACACTAGAGCATAACATACTCTAAAGCTTTCAGAATACTTTTGATAAGGTCCCTTCATTTTCCAATTAAAAGTAGTAGGAAGACAAGGAAATGTCTGCGCATGAATTGAGAAGTGCTAAACGAACAGGGAACGGCACACTGTCTTAACGGGCAAAGCCTCTAATTGGACTCATAAGAAGTGGTTTTACGAAGGGGTATATTTTAGTTGTTTCTGATCATCAGTTTTAACTATGCGGATAGATCTAATTACACAGAGGCTTAAACACAGCCATGAACCGGGCTGACACAGGGCGAATGAAATTTAAGATCGATGAGTGCAAAGTGATCCACACGGGTAGTAGCAACATACATTGTACATATCACAAGGGTGCTCCTGAGCTGCAGGAGTCCGCACACGAGAAGGATCTGTGTGGACTCTTCCATGCCCTTCCCATCAGGACAAGGTGGGGAAGCAACAACAAAGCATTGCAACTCTTGGGTACAAAGCAAAATGTGTGGAATTGAAATCCAGGGATCTTATGCTCAAGCTTCACAATTGACTTCGGTGGCCTCAGTTAGAATATCGAGTACAGTCTTCTCACCCCGACCACAAAGAGGAGTTTTAAACAGAAGTCTGGAAGGAGGTCAAGCCCTAGTCTTGCCCACGTGTTTACAGTAAATACCACACTTTCTGCTGACTCATTTCTGCTCCATCTTCACCCTTGCAGCAGCTCCCTGCCTCACCCCTCGTCTGCAGGGAGGTTCTGACAGTCTTGGTTCTGCTCAGCCAGGTGAATCACTCCAGTGTAAGGCTCACTATGCAAATCGGCATTAATGATGGACTGAGCTGCAGCCTTAGAAATTTAGCGAAGAAAAGCTGAAGGCATGGCTCCTGGTAGTTCAGTTCACACTTGGGAGGTAAGAGCCAGGGAGAATTTCTGCGATGGAGGGAAGGGAGCTGGAAATGATGTGCGCAGCGCCGGGGTGTGGTGGCAGGCGGGGAGGCGGACGCACGAGGGTGCAATTTGACCTTCACCGAATCTTCTGTTCAAGAACAGCATGGGGGGGGAGAAGGAGGGGCTGTTGTGTTCTGGCTTCTGATTACAGTTTTTTGATGGCTTACAAGTTTATAAATGTTTTCAACATTTCAAGTAATAAAAATGTTGATAAAAAGGAAAGATTCCTGGTCTCTTGAGATTGCCACGTACCGACTAGTCAAGGGACCTAAACTTCTTCAGTCTAAAATCAAAAGGCAATTGGATCCAAGTACTGCATATAAGGCCCTGAGGGGTCTATAGGTGGAGTATTTCACAGTCTGTAGCGAAATAAAGACTCAGGGTTGTTACTGATTTAGGAGAGAGGTTAGGAAAAGCTTCTTGGCCAGTTTGTGGGAACCTGGAACTGGCTGTCCAGCCAGAAGGCCGAGGCTTTTAAGAATAGCTGTATTTAATCATAGCTTTGCTTAGTTACTAAGCGACAAAATGAGAAAGACCAGTTGAATGGCTTCCTCTTATTTGCTAACATGTTCTTATGTTCTTAAGTAGCACTTTTGCTAAAAAGAAGACACCAATAGATATCCTCTTCTTCTCTTTCCAAAAAGCCGATATCCTTACTCTGTAAGTCTTGTATTTAGCACTCCAATCTGATGCGTGTCAAACCATCCCATCTCCTGATGAAGAACGGCGTGGAAATATTTGTCACGAATCCTTCTGGTCTGTCTTGCAGCAGCCAGTAAGAACATCATCACGTGAATTGTTGAAAGAAGCAGTACAGCTGCACCAAGTCCAACAAAGTAATATGCATTCCTTTAACAGAAAACAATACTGTCAGAATGTGTAAAGAGACTTATTGGATGCTTATTGGACTCAATCTGCCAAATAACAAGTCTTTTCTCAGCTTCGTTACTTTATTGATAGTTTATTTTCTAGCAATAAAATAACTCCTGGAAAACAGTAAAAAATACTGTATATGTAATAAAGGGAATATTTAGCATTGATGACAATAAGGTTAAAAGATTATACTCCAGTTTTCTGTATTACCCATAAAGAGAAGGGTTTGGACAAGGCAAAAAGATATTTTGTGGTATTTATCACAGGGGAGAGGTAGGTGCTCTATAACTCACCATTAGTGTACAGTACAACAAATTCAGCTTATTTACCTTGTCATTTCAGCTTCAATATCAATGCCTGGTAGTTTGTCACATTGCAAGCTATATGAGATGTTCGTAGAGAAATTCCCTAGAAAAGAGGAATAAAGCATTGTTTTCTCACTAGTTTTCAATGTTCTTAAAAAGTAAATTGACATCAAACAAAGGTATCTCATCAATACAATTTTGGTAATGAAAAAATATTTTGGTATGGGCAGACTTTTACGTTTGTCTTTTTATATTTACACGGATTTGAGAGGTATTGTAATATTTTTAGAAAGATTCTTGAACCAAGGCAATTGTACACACATCATCTCCAGATACAAAGATCTAAAATCAATCTCTCAGTTTAAGGTGTCATCTGCTAATCTCAGCAGAACCAAATTTCAGTACAAATTTGAGAGAAGTAAACCTTAGAAGGCTTATTAACAAAAGCAGGCCCTCCTGTCCTGTATGGTAATTAGTAGCTAATTGTCCAGATTTTTCTAGTAAGAATCTCAGGTATCTACTTCAGCAACAGGCCTGGGAAGTTACGACCAGACTCCCACAGCGCTGTAACTCATCACAGGCAGCACAGCCCTGTACTGAATGTTCAGCTCTGATCGAAGGAGAGGTGTGTCTCTCGCCGGCAGCTCCGCATGCCTGCAAGTTCCCCAGAAGCAGCAGGTGGCGCTGTGGGGTAAGGTATCGCCATGGGATTAATCCCAGACTACCTGTGGTGGAGCTCAGCCAAAGGAGGGATTCCCAGTCACAGTCAGCTAGACACATGACCCAGACCCAGGCTCGAACGTGTGACCACAGAGCTCAGCCTGCATGTATGTATGCCTTTGCCAGCCCTCTGAGCACATGATATAATATTATATATTATATAATAATAGTGTAAAAATAAGAAGAAGTGCTAGCTGTTAAGCTTGCTAGGTGGTCTATCATACTCTCCTTCACCTTCAGTGTCATGAAAAGATTAAATATTCCAAGAGGGAAATGGACAGCTCAATGTCCTGGAAGTGAATCTTGTCTAAAGGACATTTTTTAAATATTCATGTCTATTTACACGCATAACAAAAAGTCATCCACGGTACATCCGCATTGTAAGAGCTCAGACTTAGAGCAACATGATGTTTCACCACAATGCATTTTGCAAAACAGGGCACCAGCTTGCCTGATGTGTAACAACAAACCTATAGGATGAAATGTAACCCAGATCTACAACACAGTAACACAGTGGCTGAATAAAGGGGTCTTACCTGTAATGTTCAGAGGTAAGCCACTCTTGACAAAGCTGTCAGTCATTTGCCCAAAGACAACAGTCAGCAGAGGCAAGGCAACACCATGGGCTGCAGCACAGATCAAGCCCAGTATCATCATGACAATGTCCCAGCCGTCCGCATAGCGAAACTGCAAGCCCACAGGAAACAGGCACTGTCTGAGCAGCTCACACACAGCTCAGCTGTAAATACATCTGGTTGTGCAACTCTGATCTGAGACAAGTGTGCTAGGACACAAAGCCACAGCCTGAAAACGGCTTGATTCCTTAAAGTACTTTCAGGACTGTGAGAAACAGTGTCAAAGGTTGTCTGGAATTTGCAGTGCTTATCAGGAAAAAGTTGTCTCAAATTTCAGGAAAGCATCTCTGCTCTTACGTCCAGCAAGTTCCATACTACGCCTACAGTCAGTTCTACAGCTCATATTTACTTAAGTATGTGAGGGATTTTGTAGGTATTTCAGGTAATTTGCAGTGAAAATATGGGAGACACTGTGAAACAAAGTAACTGAATTAAAGGTGAATGAGTTCAAACAGTAAATTCACAAGGATAGTTTCAAACGAGAGGAAGCCCATTCTAGCCTGTTTGCTAGGTCCTTGCATCTCATTCAGGTGTCTCTTGAGGGGGTTTTGACTTCAACAACATTCTGGGCAGCTTTATCCAGACAAGAGTTTTCAACAGCACAGAGGCAGCCCTCCTGACTGGGGTTTCCCTGTCCCCGTTTCTATATATGACAGAGTGGGAGAAGAGATGGAAGACAGAGAGACAGAGGGGGAGTATGACACTGACCAGACTGAAAAATCCAACCAGCTTAGGGGGCTCTTTCTTTGCACCTTCTTTCTTCTTCTTTCTAAAAAATACAAGTCAACCCTGTATTTACACAATGCAGTATACAGGACGCAGTGTGGAGTAGTGGCCAGGACTGGCGATTTCCAAACACAGTGGACTGTTCTATTCTTAGGCAAAACGGTACTCAATCCTTAAATCCCCAGGGAAAATTGCCCTGCTGTATAAATGAACATTTGTTGTCAGTTAACATAACCTTTTTTAATGAAAAGGATTATATGTGTCAAGCAGGAAAAATCTCCTAAGATTCTAATTTTGCATACTTTGTTTGCATAAACAAATCAATCACACAGCAGTTGTCAAAAACAGGATTCATATCTGGTATAAATCATCAAAATGCAGCAACTGGTAACATTCTAAAGAATAGGACTTGACTAATTCCAGTTCTGGGCCTGAATAAATGTCTAATCTGGAAACAGCGATATGGTTTTCTCCATTTGATCTTCTCTCATAAACTCGTAATTCTCCTGATCCATGCTCGATCCATGCTGAGCAGTAATCATAGCAGACTGAGGTTGCGGGGTGAAAGCCACTCTCTCTCTGAGTCTTCCTATGCACTGTGCTGCAGACATAACTCCTGATTGGGCAACACTCGGGTTACTTAACTCCCAAGTGGCAATTTTACTACATGATACAACACCTGAACGGCGCCAGAGCCTTGTTTTCACCAATGATATCAACCTGCAGTTTCTTGAAAGAAGCCAGGGTTTTGACTTCAGCATCATTCTGGGTAGCACTTTCCACAAAAAAGTTTTGGTCCTACCTGGACCGGGGCAGAGCCTTGTTCTCAGACTGAGGCCCGTCTTTGGGCTCCTCTTCGCTCACGAAGGCCAGGTTGTTATACCCATCAGGAATGACATCTGCAATTGAAATGTGAGCCGTCACGCTAGCACAGTGTTCCCTCACAGTGCTGGGGCCGTGGGCTCGATTCCTGGGGAGCTGTCCGCATGGACTTGTATGTTCTCCCCGTGTTCGCGTGGGTTTTCACCCGGCTTTTCGGTTTCCTCCCACAGCCCAGAGACATGCTGGTAAGTGACTTCAGTGAAATGTAGTTCTGGTGTGAGTGTGTGCCTGTGTGTGTCCTGTGATGGACTGGTGTCCCATCCAGGGTGTACCCTGCCTTGAGCCTGTTGCTTGCCCATATAGACCCTGGCTTCCCAGAGACTCTGTATTGGAAGAGGGGGTTAGAAAATGGATGGATGGATTCCTTGTACTTTGGTGGTGCTGACTGGAGATGTAAATTCGTTTTTTATCTAACAACTAATTTAAGGAGCAACTTAAGAGCTGTTCACTGTCCCCGGTCAATAAACGAAACTAAAACAGTTTAAAAGAACAATAAAACCCACCATATTGAGGCTCTTCATGTTGGGTATCCATATCGTCTTTCATTCTGGCTTGTGTACGTTTTCACAGAATATCTGAAGTACAAGTTACAGTAATATTTTACTTTCAAAGGTTAGTTTGCAGTTTACACTGTTGTCAAAAGTACTATGTAAATGTTAATTTTTAATTTAAAAGATTATCTAAAATATCTTTTGATTTTATCTTTACATTTTATTCAAACACTGAATTTAATGTCAGGAAAACTAACTTTGTGGTATCGCATAGTGTAGAATACTAGTATACTACATTATGTTCAGCTCAGCATCTGATAGAAAAGGCTCCGCTTGAGGTGACCCTGTTTCTTTGTTATTATTTAATCACACAAACAACATTTAAAAAACACTTTAACTACTGTACCAACAATGATAAGCAATAAAAAGCTATATCGCTCTTCAGTTACATATTCTCTTTAAAGATTTATAAAAATTGACAGTATTTTTCCTTTAACTGTTGACTAGGTAGGTATATTTTTCTACAACTGTATGTTTGTCAATTTACACCTCCTGCACTACAGCAGCTGTTAGTCCACTTGATATATTTGACAACTCTTTAGGATTCCATACAACTCTTAAAACGCTACTCAAATACAAATCAACACAAAAAAACCCCACTCACATCAAGATCCAGTTTTGCCAGATCTGGAGAATCCTGTGAAAATAAAATTGATGTTTGTATAATAGCCAGTCCAAGCCCTTCCTGTATCACCGTCCGTTTTAGACCAACTGACAGCTACACACCACCTGTGTGCTCCTGTGACATGATTCTTTTATAACCACCTCCACTTCGCAGGATGAGCTGTGACATAAGACCCACTGAGGTGTCAGGTGTCAGGATTCAGGTGTCAGGTGTCAGGTCTGACAGAGTGCTTGCTTGACACCTCACCTGCTGCCTCAAGGAGCTCGTGTCTTTGCAAGTACTAATTGCTTCTTTAGTTAATAGCTCCTCTTCATTTCTATCCAGATTCTCAATTTAAACACACCTAACAAATTTCCAGACTTTATTCGTCACTAACCCTGGACTATCCAGTTAATTTAGGTAAGAAAGTCTTGTCTCTAGCTATTCTGCCCATAGGGAACTATTTCATAAAGCTTAACAGTTAAGATAAAAACTAACAGCCCAGAATAGTCGAAAGCATTAATTATAGAGTTCTGTTGAATCCAGTCTAATTCTTGTAAAGATTTAATTAAGGAATTGAGAACCCAGCTTCTTAAAGACCAAGATGGCGACTCCCTTGCACTAGTGAGAGTTAGCTTTTCAGACCAGCCACTGGGGAAGTTTCACTTGTGTGTACACCAGAACATCCACTGTGCCTCCTAACTGACCAGAGAAGTCATGCAAGCCCACAAACTCCATATAAATGTTGTGTAGAACTGCTTCCACATGTGCAAGGCGTGAATAACAATGCTATATCAATGTGTGAAACTGCCAATCTTTCTTTGCCACCAACAGGAAATAAACTGGTTTCCAAAACAGAAATAACAAACAGGATCTGTTTCCCAGAAAATCTCTTAGGGAATGTCATGAAAATCAGGTTTGAGGTGTATATATAACTATATATTACTGTATATGTAATATATAATCCTACAGCCTTGTGAGGCCTGAGAACATGAAAACACAAAGGACAGCAAAGACATTATTTATTAAAAATCCTTAGTTCACACCAAACAACTTGCTCTACACCAATCCAACCCCAAACTCTCGCCATGAGACACTTTATACACCTAATAATCTAAATTAATCCCCAGGTGAAAGTATATATTTTAGCACTCCACCAATTAACCAATTAAACAAACAATGCACCTCAGATGAACCTGAGTATGGGCTGTGAGGGTCAGCCCCTACTACCGTATGTAAAATATGATACTTTTTTTTATATTCTTACACGAAATACTGCTATTTACACTTTTCAGTTTAAAAAAACTGCTATCACTGTACTTGACAGTTTTCATCTGAGCTTTCACAGTAGGGGCTGTGAAGGGGCTGTGAAGGCCAGCTGAAATCACTGTCCTCCCTACAGCTGCTGTGCTACACACCCTCAATAACTTTACAGTATATGCTGTACAAACAGTAGAAAGGAAAACCTCTGATTGGTACCTCTGAAGGGAAGAGCCTACTGTCAGGGGATCTGAGATGCATTTTTGTGCCTGAGATTAGTCAAGGACTGACTTTCAAAGACCAGGAGGTCAGTGCAGTCTTTGGTCAGGATTCTGTCTGCTCAGACCACAATATTCTATAGTGTTTGAATGATTTTTTTGGTATTCACTCTATGTATTACTGCACATTTCGTATGTCGCTCCATATAAAAGTGTGTCTGATAAGCAAATAAAGAAGATATTACCTCTTCTGTCATCTTTCAATTCCAGAGTATCAAGACTCTCAACAAAGACTTATCTGCTTGAGCAGAACACTCAGTATCACAATATCATCTCTCAAACCCCTGGAAAATTCTGAAAGGCCTGGAAAAATTTTAATCTTCTATCATTTGCAATCAAGAAGTGGCTTTTTACTGTCATTTCAATGTGTAGCATGAAGATGCCATCAAACTGCAGTTTTGTCAAGGTCTGTGGAATCTAACTTCAACTCACCTTTCACTTGCATTCATATTACTGAACAGGTTTTCTTTTTTTAACTCCACTATGATGTAACAGGTTACACAAGTTGCCAGTGTGGAATGAGAGCTTTGTAGAAGGACAATGCACTTGTCTTTGATGAAGCTCAGTGGGACACATAGAAGCTTGGTGCTGTATCTTGACAAGCAGCACCTTCTTTCCACTCTTGGTATTATACACAGTACAGCTGCTGGAGTTAAAGTGGGCAATTGGAGCACAAGACTGGGTGTCACTACTCCAGCCTCCTCCACTTTTGGCAATAGGGATTTCTGATTTTATCGTGGGACAGGTGGGGAGTGAGGTCATTTAGTAGAGTCATTAGATGCTCATTTTTTTGTCTATTTAAAGGGAACTCGAGCTACAGCGCAGACCAATTTGGAAACGACCATTTCTGAAGTTTCTAACTGAGAACAAGGAATTCTACATGATGGGCGTTCAAGTTAAAAGGATAAATGGGCGTTCTGATTAAAGGATAGCCAAGTGTAGGCTATTGTCTGGGGCAGAGCCACCCCAAGGAGTCACTGTTCCCTGAGGTTGTCTGCTGCACAGAGATCCATGTTTGAATCAGAGCTTAAAGAAGATCTGGTGTCACTTCCAAGTAATGTAATGACATTGCATTGCACAAGGAAGACTACAGATATAGTCCTCTTGAATATTTAAGGTTTCAGCCAGGCCCAGAACATCTTCGATTTTGCTCCTGTAAGGTATGCAAGTCCTTTGATCATCCTAGGAATGTGTTCTAACTTTAACAGTCCTCAGCAGTCAAAACTACATTATTCCAGATGTTTTGCACTTGATAATTACAAGGTGGTCCCTAAAAAAATTCACTTCACTGTGGTTCTCCAGGTCCATGGTTGGACACACTATTATTATTATTATTAAGTTGTTCTTAATGTAATTTCATGGCCTGCTTAAGTTTACAGGAGAATGCAATAATGAATATGAACACTTATAAAGTATTTTGAAATAATTGTTTTTACTAATTTATGTTTTCTTTGCTCAACTGAATTATTTTCTGTCATGAAATCCTTTGTTTTTATTTTTCCTGTCTCAGAATTATTAACTAAATTCTACCGATAGTGTGTTGGAGAATTTAGCAATATATTTCATTGTAGTAAGATGGAAAATTCCAGCACAGACACATGTCAGTTAAACCCCTATTAATTCCTGAAAATTAAATATAGCATCCAGAGGTCCTGTCATCAGCTCATGACATAGTGGGCGTTACCTTACTGCTAACCTGATCTGCACAGATCTGTAATCTAACAAAATAACAATAGCTTTCAAGTAATCTATAGCATTTGAAATTTGTATCAAGTAGGACACAGCAGACACAAGTGTTCCCACGGGTACAAGTCCCAGCGATTCAGAGCAGGTAACACAGGTGGCCAAACCTGTCCTCCACCGTGGTGATTAGGAAGCTTGTCCCAATCGTGTCAAAGTGCAGAAAACTGACAAAGACATTTAAAAGTCTAAAGTCACTACAGAAGTTTAATTCTACAGGATTAAGAGATAACAGATCCCACATTTTATTAATTTATTTCACACTGATGCCATACGGAATAACAGTTTTGGAAAAGATCAACCTTTTTTTTAGGAGCATTAGGAATTAAATATACCGCTACAATAAAGTTCATAAAATAAAAAATACCCTTTATTTATAAATAAACTACAGTGTACCCTTGATTGTCCTTGAGCTAATGTTTGTCTTGATAATGTCCACTGACTAGGCTTCATCTTTTGGATGATAGAAAGCACCAGGGTTTAGAAGTGAAAGACATGTTTTTTCTGTTTTCAATTTTCTCTGCATTCTAGCAAGTCTTGCTGAAAAGGAACAGGGTGTGATGCAGGTGATGAGTGATAGAGAAAGCATCAAGAAACGCCAGAGGGTAAGAGAAAACAGGAATGTGTAGGTAGGTAGGTAAGGGTTCACATGTTATCATGGTTCCTGTCTTGCTTTGCTTACACATATGCAAAAAAACGTATCGACTCCTTATCTACTAGCTGCTGGTTTGCACCAGTTATAAGGTTTAAATCTAATGTTTGCATGTGACACTGGCAGAAACAGGCTGCAGAACTGCTAAAAAACCACTGTATTCACACAGGCTTTATAGTATACCAGTACTCACCAGGCCAGACCACATGACTGTATGTGAAGAGACGGCTGGGGTGCTGCAGAAATCAGGAATAGTGAGGGACAGACCTGGGGAGTCTAGAGACCAGGGATAGTGGGTACAGACCAGGGAAATCTAGAGACCAGGGATAGTGAGGGATAGACTAGGGGAGTCTAGAGACCAGGGGAGTCTAGAGACCAGGGATAGTGAGGTACAGACCAGGGGAATCTAGAGACCAGTGATAATGAGGTACAGACCAGGGGA